GAGAGCCTTGGGGGCATCTGTCCATATCTTTGATGGATTTAATCTGTTTTGCTAGCTGTCCACTTCCCAAAGCATGCTATCTTTTTCCAGGGACTGGTCTCTCCTGATAACACGTCCAAAGTACTTGAGACAAAGTCTGGTTATTTTAAATTTCTCAAGGGCATCCGAGCTGTCTTTCTTTGAAGATGGGTTAGCTTGTTCTTCTGGCAATGCAAACCACTTTCAATATTCATTTAAAAAAAAAATGAAACACTGAACACATTGAAAGGGCATTCATGATAATGCCCCATTCTACTTAACCCTGGATGTGGAACAAACTATGAGTAGCTACTAAGACTTTCCCAGGTAGTAATATTCATAGGACCAGATCCCAAGTCTTTCCCAGTTTCGCTCAAGGAGCATCTGGTGGGTTTGAAAATTGACCATTCATGTCGCAGCCTAGTGAATTCTTCAGCATGAATCACTAGAGCTGCCTGTGAGAATCCCTCTGCCTTTGAACCAGTTCTGGTTCATCTTAAACAACTTTCTGTGATAGAGGTAATTCTGAGTCACAGTGTATCTCTATAGGGTGTGCTGGCCTATACATCTTTATGAGGGCAGTGTACCCTCAGCTTCCATTCCTGGGAGCTGCTGGTGAGTTTGAACCACTGACTTTGTGATTAACAGTCCAATATTTACCAGATATCCCCACAGGGCTCAGCAGGCATAACATATTGTTTCAGTGGGTTTCTGGAGAGGAAAAAAAAAGTATGACAGCATATTTTTTTATCTTGCATATTCTTTAAAGTGCATGTCAGAGAGATAGGAGAAAGAAGGGAAGATGAGATAAAATGAGGTCCTGATTTTATACTGTCCATCAGTAGGGAGTTAAAGGGCAATTTGCATCCAGATTAGTTCTAGCTAAATTCCAAACTCTGAAAGAATACTCTGAGTGAAAACAACTTGCAAATTTAGAAATATTTTCCAATAAAATTAAGTAAAAGCAACCAGGAGAAACGGGGGCTTGTTCTCAGTAAATCCAAAATTCTAAGATTCACACAAATGGCTTTGATAGGTGAGAATATACATTCTATTACTCTAACCACGCAGGTGGTGGGACAATGGGCAGCTCTCTGGTTGAGAAACACATTCAGAATCTTGAAGTTCAATGACTGGCAAACCATTCTTTCAGAGGAAGTGATGTGTATTGTAAAATGCAATAAAAAATACAGCTCATGGGAAAACGCATTGTTTTGCAATATACGGACTTCTCCACCTCCCCAGATGTGTTGTGATCTGAATGGAATCAAAGTGAGAAAACCACTGGCAAAGATCAATTTTTGACATGTCTTACCAGACAGGCCCGGTGGAAGAGTGAGATAGGGATGAGAAAGTATCTAAATTAGGTAAACAGATGCCCAAAGTAAAATGTGAGCCTATCATGAAAATGCATGATGGCTAATAATCCTTTGCTTTGTACTTGTCCCAGGTGAATCTCGATTAAAATAAAATAAACTTTTTTCTTTTCTTTTTTTTTAGCAGCTGAAAATAACTAGATACTGAGTGTACATTTGGGCCAAACCTGGGTGATTTCTTTAGCATATGAACTAAATGATGTCATATAACAGAAGCATTGGCAGACGTTGCATGACCTTTAAACCACTTGATGGCAGTCAGTTTGACTTTTGCTTTGAGATGTGTATAGGCACATTGCATAGGTGGTACGCTCAAGTGTTTAACTCCCCCCACAGAGGAGAGTGGGTTTTTATTCCTGTTCCCTCTATTCTTATATGCCATCTTAAAGTGAAATGAACTGTATCTTCAATGTGCAGATATAGATGGTTGTCATTCAAATATTTAAGGTCATCGACTTTATTCCTTCATTATATTCACTGTTTAAAATATATCCTTTCTGAGTTCTCAACAGACTCACTCCTCTTGAAGTTGAAAGCCACTTCATATAAAGAGTTACATTACCAATTCCTTTTCTAGCCACCAGTTACTTGCCAAGAGAACAGGGAAGCAATTTGTCTGATTTGGTTTGGTTTTGTAGAGCAAGTTGAATTATTTTAACCTTGACCCCAGGGTATTTCACCAAGAACAGTCTTAGGTAAAAGATGACATTCCACTTTGCAAAAGTAAGATTGTCCTGTGTTCCGTGTTCTGGCCTTTCTAAATGAGCTGAAAATAATCTGTATACAGTTTCCAGGTTTCCCTTAGCTTCTTGTGTTTCATGGGATCTAATTCATGGCAGTTTTTAGAGAATTAAATTTGGAAAATAACCGTACACTGTGGACTCATTCAGAGTGCCCTGGTGGTGGCTACACGAAAGGGGAAAGGACGCAGCTCTCCCCGGTGTCCTTGCCCACCTTGATGTCTGTCCTCACCCTCAGAGCAGAAGCTTTATTCTGAGTTGCTGATGAGAGGATTTTCATAGGACTTTTTACTCCATCCTGTTCTTAGGACGTGTCAAGGCCGTGCCCAACTCTGAATGACTGTGGCAAAAGGAAACATTTTCCCTAAATGTAAAAGATAAAAATAAAATGGCCATATACTACTTTAAAAGAGAGAGGGAAATTAATTAATCTGGTACAGGAACTGCATACTTGAGTAGGAGTCAAGATTGTGGAGTCACAGTCAACCGTTCAGCAATGAGTAATTGCTGAAGCAATTAGTCTTTATACGGTGGATACCTCTATGCCACAATCAATCATATCAGAAAAACCACATGGACTATGAACTAGAGAGGAGGGTGCTCCTGGTGCCCATCAGAACTTGACATTCAGGATTGCTTTCTAATGGAGCAAGAAGACAGAAGGAACTGTGGGATGTGCTGTCAGAAAGAGATAAATCGGGACTTTATAATAAAATAAAAATGGATTCAATACCTTGAATTTATGAACTAGCCTATATGTCGAAGTCACTGTTTTGGCAGCTTATCAGAGCAGGCACAGTTATGGATAGGACTTAATGCAATAACTCAAACCAAACTGGATCCTAAATTTGCACGCACACACACACACAGACCAAACCCTACCCCAACCCATGCGATTTCCCTAACTCAAACCAAAATGGATCCTAACTTTCACACACACACACACACACACACACACACACACACACACACACACACACACCAAACCTTACCCCAACCCATGAGATTTCCCTTTTCTCAGGTTTATATCAAACACACAAACAGAATTCTTTGCGTGAGATCATATTGCTCATGTGTCTGTAGGCGCTTCTTAAAAAGGAGGACAGCCTGTTTCCTGTGATTTCCCAATATTGATGGAGTAAAGTCAAAATAGATCTTTCTCAAGAGCTTTTGGGAAAAATTTAGATCACTGGCACACAGTCTGGAACTAAAGAAAACTATTGATTTTGTTTAGGGTTTTTCTCCATGCCTAGTTTTAATTCATCTCCATCATGTTTTTTTTTTTTTAATCATCACCAAATCTCCTGTTCTGTCAACAGCTTACAAACTAGAGTAGACACATTAGTTCTTGTGAGTAGAGAGTGATAAGTGAGGATTATTGCAACAGGATCTTACCTGTCCTTCAGGTTCACCAAGTGACTGATTTTTAGCCATGCATGCCACTTTCATTATTGGAAAGATGTCTTAAATTATCCGTGCCTCCAACCCCTCTTTTTTTTTTTTAACATTTTATTAGGGGCTCATACAACTGTTATCCCAATCCATACACACATCAATTGTGTAAAGCGCATTTGTACATCGTTTCTCAAAACATTTTCTCTCCACTTAAACCCCCGACATTAGGTCCTCATTTTCCCCCTCCCTCCCCGCTCCCCCGTCCCTCATGAGACCTTGAGCCTTCATCAATGACTGTCTTTAACTCATTCCCAATTGTTATATATTTTACACACACACACACACACACATATGTATTAATATGTTTATTGAGTAACTTCTATAGGAAAAGTTGCTAGAAAATTCTTTACCTCGATGAGAGTACTTTCTCTTGAGAAGTGACTCATGATTTTGAAATGTACCTTGCGTGATTGGCAGCCCAGCATGTAATTCACCACTAGCGCTCACATCATCTCACTGTGTCACCAGGGAACCTTGCCATTCATAGGAATCACATACGACATTTCCATATCTGTGACTATTTGCAAGAGTAAACAGCCTGTGCTTTCTCCTACACAGAAACTTATGGGTTTGAACCAGAAGGTTGGCAACTGGGTATTTACCCCATAATACTACTAGGGGGGCTTTCTCTAACTCTGAAACTCACTACCATTGGTCACATCTGACTCATAATGATACAATGAACAGGCTAGAATGGCTCTTAGCCTTTCAGAGGTTCTAAAAGCTTAACGGGAACAGAAAGCCTCATCTTTCTCCCAAGGTGCAATTGGTGACAAATGGATAGGCACTGCCTACCTTATGTTTAAAATGCGGTGCATGACCCTGTATCCACCAGGGGCCCCTTATGGATCCTTTAAGCATTTATATATTCTCTTACTTTAAGAGTTCATTAAGTTCATTTCATCTCTATGTGTTAGGGTTCCTTAATTGGTTATATTTTGGCATACAATTTATAAAATCCACTCTTATTGACTTGATTCCTACTCTTTACCACCATATGGGGCCGAGTAGAATTGTTCCCTAGAATTTCTGAGACTGTAAATCTTCATGAGAACAGAGAGCCTGCCTTTCTCCTATGGAGCAAGCAGGTTCATTTGAACTGCTGACCTTGGGGGTAACTGCTCAAAGTAACTTTCTATACCATCATGGATTCTGACCTGTAATGAGTGTTCCATTGACTATTCATAATATTCAAACCATCGTCACATTAATGCCTCTAATAAGAAAATCAAGGATTAAATAGTATTACCAAATATGCAAGAACAAACCAATTTTTAAAATTTGGTGGCCCCTACATACCTATTCTAAATGTTTACCATCAGCCAGGTGCTTTTGACATACCTGCACTCTACTATCTTGGTATTTTGAAACAAAATGAGAGTTCTACAGTATTTTAACCATTTTTTCCCTTTTGCTTATTATAGATATCACTATCACGGCCTAATGCTGTAACCAATCAAGTTTTCCAAGCAAGGAATAAGGTAACAAAGTTTGTTCCCCCCCCCCAATACATAAGATATTAAACATATTATAAAATTTCTCAACTTCTAGCATCCTTTCATGAATAATAATTTGAGAACTGTCATTCTCTTCAGTCTTGAAAAGTCCTCAAAATGGCTACTTAAACATTTCTTTAAAAAGCTCATTTTTGTCATTTTTTCTTCTTGGGTATAGCTAATGTTGATGCATTAGGCACAAAACTACTAGCATTTGAGGCCACATAATCCAGGGATCCCATTTCATGTACACAGCATAAGAGGCCTACAGACACTCAGAGACCATAAGCCAATAACATCTACATCTCTCAACTTCCAAACCATGTTGGTATTAAAAGATGTCAGCATGCCTTTTAGGAAACGACGAGAGAGTCCATGGATTCTAAAGTTCAGAATGATTCCACTGTCCTTGGACTGGAAAATTTAGTCCAGATAGCTGAGGTTCACAAAGATTGAAAGGAGCAAGCCAAAGCTGCTTGCTAAAAACCAAGTCGTGGCACAGGTAGGTAGTGCTAGGAAGCAGTGGCAGCCATTAGGAAAGGACACACACCCTCAGGAAGTCTCCCATGTTACAAAGCAGAGAATCCAGAGTCGGGATCAACAGTCAGTGGGTACCAAGCAGAGGTCCTGTCTTCTAGAAACAGCTTGCCAGTCTGCCTGTCAATTCTGGCCACTTTATGGGAGCACCGACATCTGACAGTATCTTACTTGGCTTGACTCTCCTCTCTCTCAATTGTGTTTAGCTCCGCCGTTTCTCTCTTCTCTGTGGAGTATGCGCATCCACAGTCATACTAAAAATGCCTTCACAAATGATTGCTTTGAAATTTTGTTCTCATGTGGTCTCTGAAACATAGAATACATAAACAATGAACTTCAAGGCACTATGGCATTAATTCAAAGGAATATGCGTAGGTATTCTAAGTCAGGGAACTATTAATGTTTCTTATTCATTGAAAATCCACATTTTTGTTGAGTTATTTCCTCTCCTAGTGGTAAATTTCACATAGGTCTGTGATGTAGTTTGGATATTCTGAACAGAGCTTTTTATTGGACCCTTACTGCTACATAGGGTGTGCGGTATATAAAGTGAGTCTGCATTGACTCGATGGCAGTCAGTAACCAAAGGGTCAGCTCTTTCAACCAATCACTGGTCTGCTGAAGACAATAGCAGTCTGCTTCTGTGCTCCGGCCTTGAGAAGCCTCCCGGACACTGCTACCCTCTCCTACATTGCTACATTGCCAGGCCGCATTCAATAGCAACGGATCTGGTTTGCTTGATATTGTAGGTTGATTTTGCTCCCTCTCTTGTAGATTTTAGAGGAATCAGCCATTCTGTCTCTAATCTGTTTTTAGTGACCTCTAGAGCCAGGATGGTTTAATGTCTCTCCTTTAGATCGCCTGATTGGCTTTTCAATAACAGCTAATACAGCAATGATTTCATATATAAATGATAATGTCAATCACATTGATATTTATTATACATGGATCTCTCTCACTTTCTCTCTCTGTAGACGTATATGTCTGTGTATTATACAGTTAACAATATAGATATATATGTAGATAGCAATAGACAAGTAAAAGGATCCAAATGTTCTCCCCTACAACAAAGCATATGACTTCTAGGCTGTGTATCTTAGCATTGGCAAAACAAAATTCAACTCCCAGAAAATGCAAAACACACATTTAATTTCAGGAGGAGCCTACCTTCTCCCCCGTGCAGAATAATTGTTTTTGGAAGAGTTCTTTAAACTTATCACAGCAGGATGTAAATATGTGTATTATGAGAAAAGAAAGTTGTTCTTGAAAGTACTATATTCAAAATTAAAACAGAACTCCTGATCTCAGCTATTTAGGATGTTTTAATTCTTGTCTTTACAAAAATGTAGAACCTAAAAGGATTGTTTACACATACACACACAATGCAAAGTGATAGGGTAGTTTAACACGTAACATTTAAATGACATTTTGTCTATATATAACACTCCTTTTGACCTATCAAAATTTTAATGTCACTTAGATGTACAGAAAATACCGTTGTTTTATTATCAAATATTTCTTTAAAGACAAACCTAGATATTAATCAAATCATATATTTCAAGGTTGACCAGAACTTCTTTAAAATAAGTGAATATCAGCAGTGCTACACTCCATCACATGCAGTCTGAGTTCCAGAGGACATTGATGACTGAGAAACATGTGAATGAACATCAACCCCTTTTTCTGAAATTCTTTATATTTGTTCCCATGACACTGATTTTTGTGAGATGTATTCTCATGTCTAAAAGCTAATTTTGGTGCTTTGAACACTTGCCAAAAGTTCTCATTAAGAATGAAATATCAACCTAGTGTTTGGGCAAGCACTGAACAATCAATAGTATTGTGCAAACACGACTCGTGAATAATTGATGGATCTGAAAGCTTGGAAACAGAGATTTCCTGTAATGGGGTTGGAAGGAATGGTTCAGCCAAGTATTGATTAAGAAAATATTAAGTTTCAGCTCATGGTTGTTGCTATCTTTCCAGGCCTTTAGTAGGTTCCAACTCATTTTGGCCCTAAACACAACAAAAGCAAACACAGTGAGTCTGACCCTATTCTCTACTCCTGCTCTTGTTCCAGTGTGTTGTGCAGCCTTTGTGTCAATCTATCTTGCTGCGGGATTTCCTCTTTTTGCTGCCCTTCTCCTTATCAAAACATGATGTTAATAATCACTATTATGGTCCACACATTTAAATGTTGGTACGTATCTTTGTGATATTCTCTGCCTTGGTCCAAGATCCATCTGACATCAACAGTGATATCCTTTGTTCCACATCCTCTTCTGAATCCAGCCAGTACAGTTTTGTTGCCGTCTATTTATGTCTACAATGATAGATCATTCCACAGTTACTTAATTTTTGTTCCTTTTTGTGCCTTTTAGCCAATTCTGTCACAAGGCAGCGTGGCATTATATTGGATTTTAGTGATATGCCCTCATGAGCTGGGTAGAGTAAGATGATCTGGGTTCACAATACAGATTGTGAGTTGGGCCATCTTAAGCATAACTACTTAATTATCAGAACCACAGAACTCCACTGGGGTGCTGTTTTGAATTCATTTGGATGTTGATGAATCATCTAATAGGACATCCAGTGTGTTGCCACTGTGTGGAAAGCCTCTGACTTACATGGATGGGAACATACAGTGCAGAAGTCCAAATGAGAGAGTTTAAGACACGCGAGGCCTAGAAGATATAGGGTGCGATTTCAGCTCCAATGGGCAATTTTCAAGGGCCATTTAATAATATCAATAACTGCCTTGAGCATGGTTTCCCATTCATTGACTGAAGAATCACTAAGCTGGTGTCTCATTTTACTGCTTATTCATGTGTGCTCAGAAGTAGCCAAAAGTGACACTGATGTTACACCCTTGCAGCTGGTCTTCAGCAGATTGTTGTAGTTTCTTGTCTGGGAAGACTGATTTTCAAAAGGAATTCTGTGAATAGAAAGTGGGTCAGAGGGAATGAAGCCAGGTGATAGCTCATTCAGTGTTTTGGAGGCTTTGACTTTGAGTACTTTACCTAGATCGGGGCTTTGCCTGGATATGCCAGGATGAAGTAGTGGTTTTTTTCACTTACTCCAAGGATACCAAATCCTGGGTTACTTACTCATAATAATCAACCTGAAAAGACTCAGATGTATAAACTGGGTTATTAATTTACCAAGGGTTATATATTATTACCCATGGCATCTTTTTATTCATATCCAGAAACCTCGTAAAGTACATTATTGATTCACTTGTCCATCCACTCCACGAATATTCATTGAGCAGTTGCAAAACACTGTGCTAGGTGTCAGGAAGTTGTAATGCATAAGGCAAACACACTCCCTGTACTAGCTCCTGTAATTCTTGCATGCATGTAGACAAGGGAAACAACAGTAATAAGAGCTATGATGCACTTGCACAACTTCCATGGTTCTCAAATACGCATAGACAGACCTAAATATGTGCTGAATCCTAATAATCAAAACCTAAGTAATAATAATAGTGAGACACAGAGAACCAAAGCCCATCTGTAGACAATGGAACAGTCCCCCCCACAGAGAGGCCACAGGGAAGGGATGAGTCAAACAGGGTGCAGGTAAGGCATAAATAGAAAAAACACACAATATTCCTCTGGATCCTTCCTCACAGCCCCCGCCCCCGCCACACACACACTATCATGACCCTTGTACTGCTTCTCAGTTCAGACTAGACCAGAACATGTATGAGGGATAGAAAAGAGAGAGGGGCTCACGACACATGGGGGAAGTCCAGGAACAGAGTGGGAATAGCGATACCAGAAGGGTAGGGATAAAGGAGGGGGAGAGGAAGGGAGAAAGGGGGAACCAATTCCAATGATCGACACATAACCATACATCCCTCTCTAGGGAGAGGAACAACAGAAAACACAGGGTAAGGGAGACAGCAGTTGGTGTAAGATATGAAAATAACAAAAAATTATAACCTACCAAGGGGAGTACGAAGTGGGGTGGGGGTGGAAAAAAGAGGAACTGATACCAAGGGCTCAATAGAAAGTAAATGTCTAGAAATGAATGAAGGCAACATATGTACAAACATGCCTGATGCAATGGATGGACTGTAACAAGAGTTGTTAAGAGTCCCCAATAAAACGATCTTTTAATAAAAAAGTTTTTAAAAGATGTTGATACTTTATCTAATTGCGGTGTGTTGGATATGCCACTTTAATAGTGCATCATAATATTGAACATCATAATTTTTGAATACTAGGTATTATTATTATTATTGTCTTTTTTGCCGTTGAATAAACTAAAGATTAGCCAGATTAAATCAATGCCCTTGGGATTTAGCATTATGAAGTGGCGTTGCTGGGATTCTAAGATATGAAACTCATACTTTTCACTAGCTCCTTAACTGCTTTCACCAAACAATTAATTAACCAACAGGTAAAAACGTAAACAGGGGGAAAAGATGGACCCGAATCCTA